CCAAATATTTTCCTATTTCTGTTGGATTACATCAGGGATCGGTTTTAAGCCCATATCTTTTTGCTTTAGTTATGGATGGTCTTACTGGACATCTACAAGAGGATGTACCTTGGTGTATGCTTTTTGCTGATGATATTCTTCTCGTGGATAAAACGAGCGAAAAAGCCCAGGAAAAACTTGAATTATGGAGGTCTACATTGGAGTCTAAAGGCTTTCGTTTAAGTAGAACTAAAACTGAATACATGGAATGTAATTTTAGTAGTAATAGCTCTAGTGACAGAAGTGTGACTTTGGGTGATCAAATTATTAAAAGGTGTGAACGATTTAGATATTTTGGGTCCGTTGTTTAAAGTGATGGTGATATAGATGGGGATGTTGCTAGTAGAGTTCAAGTTGGTTGGTTGAAATGGAGGAATGCTTCGAGCCTTTTGTGTGATAGAAAAGTACCGCTTAAACTGAAAGGAAAATTTTATAAGACGGTGGTGAGACCTGCAATGTTCTATGGCGCTGAATGTTGGCCTTTAAAAGAGAAGCATAATAATAAGTTAAGTGTTGCCGAGATGAGAATGATTAGGTGGATGAGTGGCTTTACACTTAGAGACAAAATGCAAAATGAATATAACCGTGATAGGGTTGGTGTAGCTCCTATGACGGACAAAATTAGAGAAAGTCGTTTTAGATGGTTTGGTCACATTAAACGTCGACCATCTGGTGATCAGATTAGGAGAGTAATGCTTTAGATTCGACTTGTGTTAAGAAAGGTAGAGGTAGACCTAGGAAAGGTAGGTAGAGGTAGACCTAGGAAGACTTGGGCTTCTTGTATTAAAAATGATCTTAATTTACTAGAACTAAATGAAAATATGACACTAAATAGGACGCAATGGAGAAAAAGGATTCATGTAGCTGACCCCACGTAGTGGGATAGTTAAGGCTTTGTTGTTGTTGTTGTTGTTGTTGTTGCTAGATGTCAACAAACTTGGACATGTTTGTCGTTTATGAATTTATATTTTAAAAATGCCAGTGAATCCAACAACTAATTTTTCTAATAAAATGACTTTGCATAGCAGATTTTATTGAACCAAATAGCCCCTAGTATCTTACAAAGAATTCTTATTTATCTATTATATCTCATTTATAGAATGTGCCAAAAAAAATTTGGAGCTTTAACTGATGAACTGTAAATTCTGATACCTCTTTTTTCTGCACTATAGCACTTTGTTATTCAATGATTTTTCATCTTGATTGATACACTTTTAACTTGAGAAGAAAATTTTATGAGATTTTGATTTTAACTTGCATATTTCCTTTGTACAAGAACTAAGAATTTAATTTTAAAGCAAAAAAATAAAAATAATCCAATTTCTCTTCAACCATACAAATGTGCGAAAACTATATTCAATTCAAATTTTTGCCATTTACATTTTTTATTCGGTTGCAACGCCTCTTTTTTAGATCTTTTAAACCAAACAGACCTTTAAGTATTGAAATACTTGAATAAAACAACAACAACAAGCCTTTATCCTATTAAGTGAGGTGGCTACATGAATTCTTTTTCTCCATTGTGTCCTATTGAGTGTCATATTTTCATTTAGTTCTAATAAATTAAGATCATTTTTTATATAACATGCCCAAATATTTTTAGGTTTACCTCTACCATTCTTAATATAAGTCGAATCTAAAGCATCTGCTCTCTAATCAGATCATCAAGTGGTTAATGTTTAATGTGACCATACCATCTAAGATGACTCTCTCTAATCTTGTATATCACTGGAGCTTTCACAGATACATTCGTTTCGCATTTTATCTCTAAATGTCAAGCTACTCATCCGCTTAAGGATTCTCATTTCAGCAACACTCAACTTGGTTTTATGTTTTTCATTTAAATGATAACATTCTGCGTCGTAAAGCATTGTAGATCATGTTATAAATTTTCCTTCAGGTCTAGGTGGTATTTTTCTATCACATAATAGGCTTGATGCATTGCTCAACTTCAACCCTTCATCTTTAATTCTACTAATAACATTGCCGTCTATATCACCATCATTTTGAACAATAGAGCCGAGATATCCAAACTGTCAACAATATTTTATTCAAGTATTTCAATACTTAAAGGTTTGTTCTGTTATTATGCAAGATTGTGCCTTTTAAGTTGGATGGTTGAAGTTGAAAATTAATTGAAATCATTAAAATAACAACTTTTAATGATTTGATCACCATTGTTACAACTCTACCACTATATCTACTACTACTAAAATACATTCCATGTATTCAGTTTTTGATTACCCAAACGAAGGCCTTTAGACTCTAATATAGATCTCAAAACTTCCAAGTTTTTCCTAAAGTCTTTCTCTAATCTTATCCACAAGAAGGATATCATCAGCAAAAAACATACGAGAAGTTACATCCTCTAGTAAATGTCGAGAAAGAGCATCCAAAGCTAAAGAAAAAAAAGATATGGGCTTAAAGCTGATTCCTGATGTAATCTGACTGAAATAGGGACATACTTGGTCAATCCTCCTTGTGTTTGAACACAACTAACAACTCTAGTATGTAAAAAAAAGTCCAACGGAAAAATGCAATCATTGGAGAAATGCACTTGACTAGAGTCTAGAAAGGCGCTGCATCGCCTACCTACGTAACCCCTCGGAATTTCCCTTGATATAAACGCAATTTGATCAGTATAAAAGCTTCAATATGCATATATAATGGCAGAAAATATTATAGGTTTTTGCACATTTAAATGAACATCTGAGTATTTACTTTAATTATGGGCTATTATCATTTAAATTGAAGATAATATTAGGCAACTTGATCTAGACAAGTTCTGAACCATTTCTCATGCGCTGCAGAAATATGGGCAAAGCTTCTTCTGGGCAATCAAATGCTTAGCGAATCTTTGCCTTGGACCAGTCTCTTCTTAGTAATTCTGTTTGAAATATTTTTCATCAGGGTGGCCGCCGAGTTAAGAAATATAGAGGCATGGGTTCTCTAGAAGCTATGATGAAAGGCAGCGATGCCCGCTACTTGGGCGATACTCTAAAATTGAAGGTAGCCCAAGGAGTTGTTGGAGCTGTGGCAGACAAGGGCTCTGTTTTGACTACACAATGCAAGCTGTGAAGCAAGGATTGCAAGATCTTGGTGCTTCCTCATTGCCAATAGCTCATAGTCTTTTAAGATCAGATGTGCTAAGACTGGAGGTATGACCTGAAATATTTTTCTCATTTGATTGATTCTTGATATCCCAGAATCGTGGATCTTAAATAATTGTTCTTTTATTCATTTCATTGCTATTTTTTGTATTTAGACAATCGATTAGGTCTCTGAAAAGCATTTTTAAGTTGGGGCATTTACATATATGCCGCCCCCAATTCCTAGGTATTTGCATTATCTAACACAAACTTTACTTTTCATATATATACCATTCAAATTTTTTAAATCACAGCAAAAGTAGGCCTTCTCATGCATAAATAAAGTTTCATTAATATAAAAATTAAAATTTTTGTGTTAGATATGTAAATACATGGGAATTGAGTGGTATATGAATAAATTTTCATTTTAAGATCTTACACTCTATTTGGACATATGACAACTTTTTTAGACAGTTGAGGAATGCACTGATCTCTCACATGAATTCAATTAATTTTCAAATATCTGTGGTGTAAATTTTTTTTTTTATTTTATAATGAGATTTTTTGATTAATTCAATAACTTGTTCTTTATATTGGTCCTGATTTTCTTCTAAACTCGTCTATTTTGCAGGTCCGAACAGGTGCTGCACAGATCGAGGGAGGGATTCATGGCCTGATATCGTACGAGAAGAAGGCTTTTTAGCTGAAATGAGTTTCTCTCGATGAGCATATATATTTCCACGGGAGGCGTCAACATTCTGGTGCAAGGAAAGTGGAGCAGGGAGCCAGTTTCAGGTGAAAATGGTCTTTTGCTTGTATTTCTGATTTTTAAGTTTTTTTTTTTATTTAATGCACTCGAATTTGAAAATAAGGTGTGCAATCTCATAAGCTAGTTTAAAAAACAGTGTTAAAGCTTCCATTTTATTTCATGATACAATTAATGATCCACCATGAATATGATTTTTGTGTTGAAATAATTTGTGAGTGCAGAGAGACAAGGAAATTAATCTTCATATGAGTTACATTAATGATTTCGAGAAGGAATATGACCAATATTATAAGAACTGATTTATGTTTTGTTTGGGATAGTTTTTTGGCCAAACGGTTGGGAGTTGAATTGGATTTTGAAGTGTTTGGAAGAAGCGTTCTGCAATTGGGATTTCAAACAAGGTTATCATTTTTAACTACAATGGGAATGTGATTACATTCCTGCATTCTGGGCTTTCACTGTCTGCCTGGGACGTGATTTCTTTCGATTTCTAACCTTGTGACAGTTGCGAAGCCCTTTTTTTGTGTGGAATTTGCAGTCATAGACATTGCCACATAATAAAATGTATTAATAAAATACATTTGTTTTTGAATCACACACAACACAATTCTTATTTATATAATATATTACTTATTATGAACCTTCACACACACACATATTTCAAAACTAATTTTTCAAATGTATATATCAACTGCTTCCGAAATACCAACTTTTAAACAATAATTTTTCAATTAAAATTTTATACTGCTGCAGCCGAAACAAAGGCACCCTTAGTTTGGAGAAGTGTGTTAGAGCATTATGTTGAGAATATGCTTATAAGAGATATGGGTTTTTGAATACAAGTAATTATGTTGTATAATTAAAGTATATTCAGAGTGTGTTATATTTTGTTTTGATAGTCAGTCTTCTAAGAGCCACATATAACTGAGAATGAGTTGTGCACTATTCACATTATAATTTAAGTGTGGTATTCAATGGTTCATAAAACATACGAGCTTCTATGTTCAATGGCTCTCCCTCCACTTATCCAGCATAATGAGCTCTTGTCATATGGAATATCATTTTTTCAAATTTATTAAAATCATTCTCAATTTAAGGATCATAGCTCATTGAAAGAGCATAGCTCATTAAAGAACCAACTTCACTGTAATTGTATGGTTCATACTCACCATGTGAAGTCGGAAACTAATAATTTGGTTGAAATTTCCTATATTTAAAATAATATCTTACTTTGTCTCGCATTAAGTATGGTTGATTCTTGTGTTCTACACATTGGCATTAAAACTTAACCTTCTGAAAGATGAGTCAGAAGATGAGACGTCGCTTGAATGAAAGACTTAAAACCATTCAAAAACCCATATGTTAGTCTTTTTCTACTCCGATGCAATCTATTGTACATTCATGGCCTGTGAATAATCATAGATAACACACACACACACACATATATGTATATGATCGTAAAACCCATTAAGTTGAATTAATGTTAACTAACATAATTATTGCATTTTACCTACTAGATTGAGTGGTATCCAATTTGAATATGAATCCCTAAATCCTATAGAGAAGTAAAATTTCATGCATACCAAATGCATAAAAGCGAGGTGTATGCGCTAAGGGGTATTTGCATACATACCACCCAATTCTTATATATTTATATATCAAATACATAAACTTGCATGTTTACATATACATCTTTTAACTAATTGGTTTACATACATACTCCAAATTCCTATTTATTTATATATCTAACCACAACACTTGCATATTCAACCCTAAGTAGGGGTGTAAACAAGCTGAACATGAGCGAGCCCAGGCCCGGCTCGTGTTCGGCTCGTTTATATTTCGAGCTCAAAAAGTGTGTTCGTGTTCGACTCGTTTGCTTAGCCAGCCGAACACGAGCCGCTCACGAACAAAGAGTCATTTTAATAACCCTAATCACGTAGCCATAAGATGTTTAAGATATGGGCAAGAATTAAAACATCATTTGAATCTAATTTAATAATTTTTATTCTATTTTCTTTATTAATACTTTTAATTGATTATAAATCTTTGTAGCCTTGTAGTCAATTAATTTTTTCTTTAAAAAGACTACTCATTAAAGATATATATATGATTGATTAGTAGTATTTCGAGCCAAAACGAGCCGAACACAAACGAACAAATATTGGTTTGTGTTGTTTGTGTTCGACTCGTTAACTTAGCTAACGAGCTTCTTAACTAGCTGAACACGAGCTGTTCGCGAACAACGAGCCGTTTTGACAACCCTAACCCTAAGCAATTAATCAACTAAAAAGGACATATACGTACATGCCACTTAATTCGAACTACATTACATATCTAACACCTAAACGTTATACCAAATCCTATATAAAACATAAGAACCAACAAATTGAATGAAATGCATCCAAGTATTATAATAGTAACAAACTCTAAGTCATAAATATGATGACAATGCACTAAGAATGAGGCGCATCCCAAACTTTATAGAAATACAATTGAAACAAATAAAATTTCTCAAAACTATAAAATCCAAAAAACTGAAAATCTAACTAACGAAATTAAGAAAATCTTAAGAATAATAAAAATTGAGCATTCCTTTGATTTGAGAGAATGATGTGAAAATTTATATGGCTTTTAGGTATCGAGAATGACCAACGATTGGAATTCTGCAGGTCATTCGACTGATATCCTCAGGCTTTCCTGTTGTGTGCTAGTGAAATTAGATGGATTTTTGGTGCAATTTAGCAATCTAGTCATCTAAACATTGCTAGTCATCTATTCTATGTCAATATTTCGAGCGAACAATCTCATTTTTCATGCTGGTTTGAAATACATTAAAATCGACTGCCAATACCATTGCATCCAAGACTTACAACATCATTGTTGGCAGTCTGGCCTCCCAAGATCAGCTCGTTGACTTCTTCACCAAGAAATAATGCACACCTCTATTCTAGGCCTACAAAATCTACTAACATTTGATTCGGCACATGTAAGCCACTTGTGAGCATACAATATAAAAAGATAAAAATTTTAAAATCAATGACATCCCACAAAAAAATAATAATAATAATTAAAAATTAATTTTAAAAGAAATTCATATATATATATATATATTTGTTATAAATTTTATATTTTTATTTACATATTTTATACTTCATGTGTTGATATAAATTGTATGAATAGTATAGTTGGGGTACATGAAGTTCATTCCTGC